CCTCACTCTCACATGGCCGCTGGGGGGGCTGCAGGACGGAGGATCTGCCGCGGGGGGCTCCCTGGGAGTCCCCCCAACCGCGATCGCCGGCGTGGCATCTCCGGCGACCGGGTAAGTAAGAAAAAACTGGAGGGCGTACTATTACGCCCGGCGGCGTTTAGAGCCGCCTAAAATAGGGCGTAATAGTACGCCCTCCGGTCTTAAGGGGTTAAGGACTGAGCCAAATGTACACGTTGTGATCAAAACAAAACGTAAACAAAAACTTGAATTTGCGCTATATGTCTGTTCAGACGTAATTCACCTCTCATATTATGTGCACCCACACTTATTATATATCATTTTATTCAGGGGAAACAGGGCTTTCATTTAACATCAAATATTTAGGTATAAAACATAATTTAATATGAATAAAATATAAAAAATGGGAGAAAATAAGAAATTCAAAAAAATTTAAAATGTCCATTCTAACTGTGAATGTCATAATACTGTTTGATTTTACTGCAATAAAATACACATTTGTATTTTATTGCAATGTGTCACATGTAAAACAGTACCCCCTATGTACAGGTTTTATGGTGTTTCGGGAAGTTACAGGGTCAAATATAGCATGTAAAATTTTTCAGTTTTTTCACGTTGAAATTCACCAGATTGGTTACGTTGCCTTTGAGACCGTATGGCAGCCCAGGAATGAGAATTACCCCCATGATGGCATACCATTTGCAAAAGTAGACAACCCAAGGTATTGCAAATGGGGTATATGCCCAGTCTTTTTTAGTAGCCACTTGGTCACATACACTGGCCAAAGTTAGTGTTAGTATTTAAAAATGCAAAAAATTCCTGTGTGTCCAACTTGTCTGGTTACAACTACATGTCTGTTCGTCCACCCATTGTAAAGCGCTGCAGAATTTGATGGCGCTCTATAAATATAATAATATAGACAGTGTATGTGTATATATGTGTGTGTGTATATGTGTATATATATCTACTTAGATCATATATATATGATCGAAGTGTATATATAATGTAATTTTAAATTGTTTTAAACTTTATTTTTTGTCAGACAGCAGGGGGAGTACCTGTCATTACAGGCACTCCCACTGCTGGCAATGCCTTGGACGGCTATGCTGTTCATGTGATCGCAAGCTCCTCGCGATCACATAGCCTGGGGGGGCGAAGAGGACAGAGGGGGACTCCCTGGGCTCCCAGGTGAGTCCCCATACCGCGATCGCCGGCGACCGGGTAAGTAGAAAGGACGGTTTGGGCGTTCTATGCTGCCCTCCGGCATTTAGAGCTGGTTCCTTAAGGAAGGCATAGAATGCCCGCCGTCCTTAAGGGGTTAAAGGGACACTATAGTCACCCAAACCATTTCAGTTCAATGAAGTGGTGTGGGTGCTAGGTCCCCCGTGTTTTAACCCTTCAGATGTAAACGTAGCAGTTTCAGAGAAAGTACTATGTTTACATTGCAGGGTTAATCCAACCTCTAGTCCTTACAGCTGCTAGAGGTGCTTCTGCGACCCTGGATGTGAAAATCGCATCCAGTGTGCAGAACGGCATAGGAAAGCATTGAGAAATGCTTTCATACGGACTGTTTGAATGCATGCACGGCTCTTGCCGCGCATGCGCATTCCGCTCCACTCGGGAGCTGACGTTGGCGGGGGAGATGTCACCAGCGCAGAGGGAGCCCGGCGCTCTATTAAGGTAAGTCACTGAAGGGGTTTTAGACCTTCAGCGCCAAGGGAGGGGGACCCTGAGGGTGGGGGGTCCTAAGGATGATATAGGGTCAGGAAAACAAACTACACTGATCCTTGAAGGGTATTTTTTACGTAGCCATTTAGCAGCCAATCCCTGATAAATATTGTAGTAAAATTGTGGGGGGTTCTGATTTCTTGAACACACATTTAACAAGGTTTTTTGTATTTCGGAAACCTGATTTGTATTACTCCTGTAAAAAACCCCATATTGTGTTAAATTACATATTGTGATTGTAAACCCATAAATGTAGATGAGGCAGCCAGGCTGGCTGACTAGTATCAAAATGGAAGGAAGTTGGAACAAAGTGGAGGACGACCCCCCATTTACACCATCGTATCTGGCGCAAAACACTCCTGCACCGTCCAGGCCCACTCGATTCACCTCTTCCTCAATGCCGACACTGTTCCGGAGATCCAGAACCTTGTACCATGGGTGCAATCAACCCGGACATTTCAAAAACAATTGCCCGAACCGGAATAGGGGAAACTTGGAACATACACAACCTCAGCCAGTTCGGGCCGCAGTGCACTGTTATCAAGAAGACTTACGACTGGTGCCAAGTTGCCCTGAGTAACAGTGGGCTGTATTGCATGAAGTGAATCCCATCCATCAACAACCGGGAACACCATCGGCAGTGGGTAACAGTAGACGGGCACTGTAGCAGTGAGGGTGGCCGGGGGAGCCATCCACAAATTACCAACCACATGGGTCCATCTTGATTGGAGTTCAGAGTCCAAATCCTTGGAGG